CATTGGTCTGTGTATCTGTTTTTATACCAGTACCATGCTGTTTGGTTATTAAAACTTTGTAGTATAATTTGAAGTCAGATAATGTGATTCTTTTACTTTTGTTCTTTTTACTCAGTATAGCTTGGGCTACTCTGGATCTTTTGTGGTTCCATATAAATTTTAGGATTGTTTTTCCTATTTTTGTGAGGAATGTCAATGGTATTTTGACAGCAATTACATTGAATCTGTAGATTGCTTTGAGTAGTATGGACATTTTAACTATATTGATTCTTCCAGCCCATGAACATGGAATAGCTTTGCATTTTTTGTGTTCTCTTCAATTCTCGCATCAGTATTTTATTGTTTTTGTTGTAGATATTTTTGTAAAATACATGATTCATATGTATTTTATTTCATTGTAGATATCTTTCACATTTTTGTGAAATACACAGTTTCTGTGGATTTCATTTTATTTGTATCTGTTGTAAATTGGATTACTTTCTAGATTTCTTTTTCAGATTGTCTGCTGTTGGCATATAGAAACAGTACTGATCACTGAGTATTAATTTCGTATTCTGCAACTTTACTGAAATTTATCATTTCTAAAGTTTGTGGTAAAGTCTTGAGGTTTTCCAAATATAAGATCATATCATCTGCAACCAAAATAATTTGACTTCTTCCTTTCTAATTTGGGTGCCCTTTATTTCTTTCTCTTGTCTGATTGCTCTGGCTAGAACTTCCAGTTGTGTTGAATAACAGCGGTGAAAGTGGGCATCTATGTCATGTTCCAGACCTTAGAGGAAAGGGTGTCAGTTTTTCTCTATTCAGTGTAATACTAGCTATTGGTTGGTTGTGTGTGACTTCTATTGTATTGAGGCATATTCCTTAATACCTAGGTTTTTGAGGGTTTTTAACATGAAGGGATGTTGAACTTTATCAAATGCTTATTCACATCAATTGAAATGATCATTTAGTTTTTAGCCTTCATTCTGTTCATATGATGTATCACATTGATTGATTTGCTTATGTTGAACCATCTTTGAATTCTAGGGATAAATCCCTCATGGTCATGATGAATTACCTTTTTTAATGTGTTGCTGAATTCAGTTTGCAAGTATTTTTTTGAGGATTTTAGTATCGATATTCATCAGGGATATTGGACTATGGTTTTTGTTTTTGATGTATCTTTGTCTGGCTTTGGTATGAGGGAAATACCAGCCTCATAGGATGAGTTTGGAAGTATTTCCTCCTCTTCTATTTTTCAGAATTGTTTGAATATGATTGGAATTAGTTCTTCTTCATTATTGTGTAAAATTCAGCACTGAAGCCATCTGGTCAAGAGCTCTTCTTTGCTGAGAGACCTTTTATTATGACTTTATTTCATCACTTATTGGTCTTCATGTTTTGAATTTCTTCAGGTTCAATCTTGATAGGTTGTATGTGTCTAGGAATGTCTTCATTTCTTCTGGGTTTTCCAATTTATTGGCATATAGTGGCTCATTGCAGCCTCTAATGGACCTTTGAATGTCTATACATTATATTGTCTCCATTTTCAGCTCAGATTTTATTTATTTGGGGTCTTCCCTCTTTTTGTTAGTCTGGTTAAAGGTTTGTCAATTTTGTTTATCTTTTCAAAAAACCAACTTTTCATTTCATTGATCTTTTGTATTGCTTTTCTCGTTGCACTTTTATTTATTTCTGCTCTGATTATTATTTTCTTCTAATTTGAGATTTAAGTTTGCTCTTGCTTTTTGAGCTCATTAAGATGCATCAGTGGGTTATTTATTTAAAGTTTTTCTACTCTTTTGATGTAGGCTGTTATAGCTACAAATTTTATTTTTTAGTGCTGCTTTTGCTGTATTTAAGAGGTTTAGGTGTATTGCATTTCTTTCATTATTTATTTCAAGAAATTTTAAAATTTTCCTCATAATTCTTTATTGACCCACCAGTCATTTAGGAGCTTACTGTTTAACTTCTATATGTTTGTATAGTTTATTGCTCCTTTATTTCTCTTTCCTACTTGAAGGATATTTCTCTGGATATACTATTCTAAGATAAAAAGATTTTTCCGTAAACACTTTTAATATGTCATGTCACTCTCTTCTGGTCTATAAAGTTTTCACTGAGAAGTTTGCCAACAGATGTATTGGAACTCCATTATATGTTATTCCATTTCTCTTGCTGCTTTTAGAATCTTTTTTTTAATCCTTAACCCTTGGGAGTTTAATTATTAAATGTCTTGGTCATCTTATTTCGGTTAAATGTGCTTGGTGTTCTGTAACCTTCTTGTACTTGAATGTTGATCTGTCTCTCTCTCTAGGTTTGGAAACTCTGTGTTGTTTTCCCTTCGGATAAACTTACTACCCCATCTCTCTTTCTCTCTACCTCTTCTTTAAGGCTGATAATTCTTAGATTTTCCCTTTTGAGGTTATTTTCAGATCTTGAAGGCATGCTTCATTCTTTTGTCTCCTTTGTGTATTTTCCAATAAGTCTGTCTCCAAGGTCACTAATTCTGTCTTCTGCTTGATTAATGCTGCCGTTAAGAGACTGTAACGCATTCTTCAGTGTGTCAACTGCATTTTTCAGCTCCAGAATTTCTTTTTGCTTCTTTTTAATTATTTCAATCTCTTTGTTAATTAGACAGTATTCTAAATTTCTCCTCTGTGCTACCTTGAATTTCATTGAGTTTCCTCAGAACAGATTCTCCGTCTAAATGGTCACATTTCTCTCTCTCCCCTGGATATAATCCTGGTTCCTTGTTTAGCTAATTTGGTGAGGTCATGCTTTTCTGGATGGTCTTAATGCTTGTGGAGATTCATCCCGTCTGGTCATTGAAGAGTTAGGTGTTTATTGTCATCCTCATAGTCTGGACTTGTTTGTACCTGTCCTTCTTGGGAAGGTCTTCCAGGTATGTGAAGGGATGTTAGAGTTGTAAGTTTTTGGTCATTGCAGCCATATCTGCATTAGAGGGCACCCCAAGTCCAGTAATGCTGTGACTCTTGCAGACTCAGAGAACTATCACCTGGGTGGTCTTGGATAAGATCTGGAAGAATTATCTGGATGACCAGGCACAGACTCTTATTTTATTCCCTTACTTTCTCCCAGACAAACAGAGACTTTCTCTATGCTGAGCTGCCTGGAGCTAGAAGAGGGGTGATGTAAGCATCCCTGTGGCCACCATTATTTGGTCTGTGTTGTGTGAAACCTGAAGCCAGCATAGCACTTCATCTTGCTGAAGGCCAGCAGTAGCCACTTCAGCCTGGCTACCACTTGAGTTCACTCAAGGCCCTTGGGCTCTATAATCAGCAGGTGGTAAAGCCAGCCAAGTTTGTGTTCTTCCTGTTAGGATAGCAAGCTCCACCCAGGTTAGAGATGCTGTCCTGGAGCCAGGGCCTGGAGTTGGAAGCCTTAGTAATCTACCTGATGCTCTATTCTACTGTAGCTAAGCTGGCACCCAAGCCACAAGAGAAAGTCCTCCTGAATCTTCCCTCTCCTTTTCCCCAGCAGAGGAGTCTTTCCCCATGGCCTCTGCTGCTCCAGACCTGCAGGGAGTACTGCCTGGCTACCACACTGTTCCTTCAAGACCCAAGCGTTCTTCATTCAACTTGTGGTCAATACTGCCAGCCTAGAACTCTTTCTTCAGGGCAGTGAACTTCTCTCTGGCCAGTGCTGGTCCAGAAATGCTGTCTAAGAGTCAACCCCCAGAATTAAGGACCACCAGAACTTGCTTGGTGCTCTACCCCACTGTGTTACTGTGATGGAGCTGGTTCTCAAATTGCAAGACAAAGTCTCCTTTACTCGTCCCTTTCCTTTTCTCAAGCATAAGGGGTCCTTCCCGATAGCCTCTTTAGCTGGCAATATCCTGGGCCACACCTGAAGCCAGCATGTCTCTGAGTCTTACCCGAAGCTCACAGTGAGTAGTGCCTGTGTCCTCCTGCCGATTAGTCAGAGCCAAAGTGCTCCTTAGCCAGCATGTGATGAATCACCCAAGACCAGTTTTTTTTTTCTTCTGGTTCAGAATCTGTCTAGAAATGTTATCCAGGTGCCAGGGCCTGGAATGGGGGCCTCAGGACTCTGCCTAATGTCCTAGTCTCCTGTGATTGAGCTGGTATCCAAGTTGCAAGTCCTCAACTTGGACTTGCAAAGTATTTACTCTTCCTTCTTCTCTCCTCAAGCAGAAGTAAGGAATCTCTCCCAGAGCTGTGAGCTGTGCTACCTGGGGTTGGTGGAGGAGTGGTGCTCGCATTCCTTTGGCTATACTGGCTGGTGTCTTGCTAGGTCACATGCCCCTCGGGTCCACTGCTGTGGGCCCAGCAAAGCACCAGAACTTGCCTTTGCAGTCTGTTTGGCCAAGACTGCTTTCAAGTTTACTGAGCTCTCTACAGCGCTGTAGCCTGCAGCGATGAGGCTTGCTGGAACTCAAGTTCTGACCACTGGAGTGGATGATTTTTCTCTGGTTAGGGCCAATCTAAATGCTCCCTCTGTGGGTGCCAGTTGAATTCTGCCTAATGTTGCTTTCCTCTGTGACAGGGCAGCACTGAGTTTCAAAGCAAAATCCCACTATCACTGCACTCTCCCTTTTTCAAGTGTGTGTTTGGGGAAGGGAGAGTGCAGTGATGGCAGGATGTACTGCCAGGGGATGGGGAAGGGGTGGCATCAGCAATTCAATAGTGTCTTTTCTACCTTCTTCCGTGCCTCTTTCAGTGATAGAAATTTAAAACCAGGTACTGTGACTTTTTGTTCTTTTGAAGGTGCTTTTTGTGTGAATAGTTGTCCAATGTTGTGTTCCTGAAGGAAGCATGATCGGTGGAGGCTTAAGCCATCTACTTCCCCTTTTTTCTCCTAGTTCAATACTTTGATTGTTATCCTTAATCACAGACTTTCCCACCTGCCCCACAGAATTCTGACCTCTTCCCTCCATGGTGTTCATGAAGCTCAGAACATTCTAGAATTCCCACTTAAACTGAATTAAGGTCCTGTTAACACATTGAAGTGGGTCAGTGACATTCTTTCTCTTTACTTACCAAAGAGTTATCCTCCATGTATGTGACAGAATAACATGTTTCCTCTGCAGATCCTTATCAGGTGCTGTTGCCTTTAGAGCCTCTGTTAAACTGCTCCTTGGATCCTAAAAACAAAACAAAAAAAACAGTTTTACATTCTAAACAGCTTGTTTTTAAAGGGGTCTTGTTAAACACGACCCACAGTTTTAACAACATTTTTCTACAGGTTTGAACATAGCGCACTTCATCATCTGTAGTTTAATATTTGTTTTAGCAAGTTGCAATAAAAATGAAAAACCCGCTTTGTCAAGCTTTCCCCAATGTATTGCTTTGTCATATGTGAGTTAGAGGCATGTGCAGGGACTAGGGGGCACTGGAAATCCTTGTGTTTTCTGCCCATAGACCATGCAAGTGGAGAGAAACCTGTGTTAGGAACAGATGGAGTAGGATCAGGAAAACGGCCACGCTTTCTAAAGCACAGAATGTGCTTAGAGCAGTTCTGAAAATGGAGGAGTGGAGCTCTGGTACTAGTACTTTCAATCTGCTTGAGGATGGGAGAAATGATAAAATGTTCACTCATTTGACAAACAGTTATCTTGCTCCTATGATCTGCCAATCACCAAGGTTCTGTGGAGAAAGCATGGAGCAAAATAGACGAAAACGCTGCTTCATGCAGCACATCTTCTCGTTGGAGGGGGCTGTGTGTCCTTAGGAGGACAGTGCTGTACACTAATTTGGTTGTCATTTTTTTTCTTTAAAGGCCTACTTTGTAATGTTAGCTGATCAAAGCTGATTTCAGGCTAGCAATGTGGTATCAGGGGTTGGGAGGCTGGGAAAAGATGAGCACAGTCAGCTCTGTGGAGCTGGGAGACACAAGAGGCAGCCACTGAACACTTTAAACATGTAAAACATATGTCAGCTGGTGATGTGTGCTACAGAAGGTGATGAGACGGGGAAGGGAGAATGGGATGGCTGGAGGACGCTTGCTGTCATAAATACGGGCAGAACGCGCCTTGCTAAGCTGGTACCACTTGGAAGGGATAAGAGTTCTAGGCAGAGGGAACAGCAAGTAGAGGACACTGATAGGAGAAGAGGCCAGATATGTTTGAGGAACAGTAGAGAAGCCTGTGGGCTGTAAAAGAGCGAGCCAGAGGGTAAGCAGCAAAAGATGCAGTGACCCAGACCCACGTCGCACAGGGCCCTGCAGGCTGATGGAAGGACTCAGCTTTTTCTCTGAGTGACACGGGAGACTGCAAGGTTTTGAGCAGAAGAGTGACATGTCTGACAAAACATTTTAACAAGACCCAAATGGCTGTGTCTTGAGAACAGAATAAATAGAGAAAGGGTTAGAAATGGAGAGGTTAGTTACGAGTAGAGACAATAATCCAGTGGAGAGATGGCTGTGATTTTGACCTGGGTGGGTTAGATGTGGTTGTAATCTGGATTGATTTTGTGCCAGAGCTAGCCTGATTTGCTGATGGATTGGGTATGTTGTGTGTGACAGGAAAAGATGATTAATCCCAGCACTTTGGGAGGCCAAGGCGGGTGGATCACGAGGTCAAGAGATCGAGACCATCCGGGTCAACATGGTGAAACCCCGTCTCTACTAAAAATACAAAAAATTAGCTGGGCATGATGGCGCACGCCTGTAATCACAGCTACTGGGAGGCTGAGGCAGGAGAATTGCCTGAACCCAGGAGGCGGAGGTTGCGGTGAGCCGAGATGGCGCCATTGCACTCCAGCCTGGGTAACAAGAGCGAAACTCCGTCTCAAAAAAAAAAAAAAAATGACTCCAAGGCTTTTGGTTTAGAAGTCAGTCAGACCCGAGGTTTTGGTATGCACTTTGAAGTCAGGTTTAGATTCCATCCCCACCTCTGTCAGTGGCCCTTTGTTTCCCTTTCTTGCCCATGGATGGTAAGCACCATGATATCATTTGGCTCTGTGTTCCCACCCACATCCCATCTCAAATTGTAATTCCACGTGTCAGAGAAGGGGCCTGGTGGGAGGTGATGGGCTAATGGGGGCAGACTTTGCCTTTGCTGTTCTCCTAAATAGTGAGTGAGCTCTCGTGAGATCTGATTGTCTGATAAGTGTGTGGCTCTCCCCCGCTGCCCCCGTGTCACCTTGGAAAGACATGCTTTCTTCCTCTTTGCTTTCCGCCATGATTGTACATTTCCTGAGGTCTCCCAGCCACACTTTCTGTTAAGCCTGTGGAACTGTGAGTCAATTAAACCTCTTTTCTTCATAAATTACTCAGTCTCAGGAAGTTCTATAGAGCAGTGTGAGAACCGACTAATACACCCCATAAGGGTGGGGCATGCTGTCATTCTTACCATTACATTCCCGTTGCCTGAGCATAGGCACTTAGTACAGTGTGAATGTTGTTGTACCTCTCTCCATATTTTAATTTTCCAAAGTATAAGACCTAAATAATAATATTAATTATAAGCAGTTTTGAAGAATGAATGAAAAATAGTATTTCTAAAGTATGTTGTACATCTGTCATTCAGAAAACATTGACACACGGAATCTCTGATTATTATTGCCCATGCTCTATGTTCTTTAGAATGTTGATAAAATTTTGAACACACAGAAAGGAGGGTACTTTATAGAAAAAATAATGATGGGTTATTTTCATCCTTTTCATTAAGACTTTGTCATTAAGAGCCATCTCTTGAGTGACTCAGAAATAGAGGAAGGACTTCCCTGTGTTAAAGCCAGAAAATCCAAACTGATTTAACTGCATTGCTGCAAAGAGAAAGGATCTGTCTTACCGACAGGATTAAAGCAGGATAGAAACAAGAGCTTTCTACATATAAGCACTACTTCCTATGATGATTGTTGTTTTTAAGTGGTGAAAAATGGAAGGACTGTGTGGTGTTAAGTGCAGATGCGCAGAGGCTGAACTCTGTGAATGACAGTACACCTCAGTTGTCATGGTAGCCAAGAGCTCCCAATAGCTCCTTTCCCCTGTGCCCAGATGTTTAGCCTATATTAACATGCCCTAAATGATGACAGAGACAGTTGTGAATGTATAATGTCATTTTTTTTAATCATTGGCAGTTTAGAAAATCTTTTTAAAGCTCAGAGATTGAGTTTAGCTGGGAGTAAGCAAGTGAGAATTTGGTATAACATCTGTGTTGCTGAAGTTTGTATTTTTAAGCCATATATGAAAACTCAGTTGCCTTTCCATGTGAATGCATTACTTCCGCACATTTTGCAGAGGAATTCAGAGAAACAATTAATAAGATCATATACGGTAATTGAGACTACAGAATTTAAAAGGGTCTATATGAGTCCTTTATTTTCTCGTGTCATGGCTTGGGTACCAATTCAGGCTAATGACTGGCAAAGAAAAGAACAGACACTAATTTGCAAGTAGCCCCTGAAAGTTGATTGATTTAAGAAAAACCTTTGCCTTTATTATAGCTCTTTTAGTAAGTGAAATTATATATAGATATTTTCTAAGTGCATTTGGTTTTTACTACTATTTTAATTTATAGGATAAAGCTTATGTTAGCCAGTATTTTCCTATGAAAATACCTCTGATGAAAGTGAAAAGTGTAACCTCTTCTTACTATTGACCCTATGACTCTGTGAAAGCCTGTTAATTGAGGGCCATGATACACGTTAAAAGAGCACTTAACTCTTCTTGAGAAAGAAGAATTTTAATCTGTATGGAGAACAATGAACATAAAAGTCTAATACAGAAGAGAAATCAAATGTTCATTGCAGTTAGGTTTTTCTGCAGACTGGAGGATGAAGAAAAAGGACAAGAATAAGTTTTTATAAAGAGATTAGAGTTAGATAATCAAGGAGGAAGAAGACAGGAGACACCAAAAAAAAAAAAAAAAAAAAAAAAAGAAAAGAAAAAGAAAATGTAAATAATTCCTTCTACCTGCAATTGCTCCACAAACTTCTATTCATCCAATATCTATACCTCATTTGGGTCCTGGCTTCCCTTCTCACTTAACAGCCTCTTAAAATCTGGTACACTAAGCCCCTTCTGATCTAGGTTTGCCATTCTCCTCTCTGAGGCACCATCTCTTTCCCTAGATGTGGGTTCACCCAAGGGAGCCCTGGTGTCTTTGAGGCATCTGAGATCCACACCACTGTCCTTCCAGATCCTCGCCCACCTCTCTGATAAACCACTTGAGTTTTTCACCTCTGACAACCTTCTTAGTGCCTGCTAGTTTTTCTCAGACTACTGTCTCAAAAGGAAGTGCCTCTGAGGTAAGTCCGTTTTACCTCCTGTTTGGAGCTGTGCATTCAGCCAGGTAATTTCTCTGAGCAAGTTTTCTCTTTGGGTTAATGCTGTTTAACAGAACTTTCTGCAGTAGCGGAAATGTCCTATGTCTGTGCTGTCCAATATGGTAGCCAATAGCCACATGTGACTACATGGATTTTAATGAATTAAACTGAAATAAAATTAAATATTCAGTTTCTCAGTCATTCCACTCCCATTTCAGATGCTCAGCAGTTACATGTGGCTAGTGTCTACGAGATTAGACAGTGCAGCATTAGAGGAATCCCAGCTTTAGAGCAGTGGGTCAGGTCTAGTACCCCACCATGCTTAGACATGGGCTGAGAGAAGCCCTGGAAAATCTTGGCCTTGGAGTGAAAGCTGTGGGGATGCAAAGGTATGGAAACTGGAAGCTCTTCATCACCCATGCTTCTTGAAGCAGAGTCTCCTGAAGGAAAGCTGGAGCCAGGAATCTCCCTGCTGCCTCGTGCACCATCTCCTAATAAATATTGGTTCGACTTTGGTTGTGAGGTTTGGAGTTAGGCTGGTGTTTGAACGTTGGCTCTGCCAATAGTTAGCTATGGGTCCATGAGACATTAAGTTCTCTCTCTGTTTGTTTCTTCACTTACAAAATGGAGATAATATTACCTCTTTCCCAGGGTTGTTGTGAAAATTCAGTGAGATAATAAAGGGAGGGCAACACAGTGCCTGATATAGCCTAACCACCTACTATGTAAGCCAAAGATAGACACTGTGGGTTCTGTGTCAGCCTCAGCCCACTCTTCCTACTACTGACACAAAATACTAATTAGCCTTTTGAACTGAAGTGCTAAGTAAACAAAAGAATAATTCAGGAATTGTTGCTACATTGCCTGTAATTTTCAAACACATTCTTTCTTAGAAATATAACTCTCCTTGTATGAAGATACTATTTTGAGGAATTGTATGTGTGTGTATAGCCTAATCTTTACTCACACTATTCCACCAGACAGGAACAGTCTAGCGAACAGTTTTTAGGAAAGGGTGACCTGACCTCAGTTTGTAGACAGAAGGAACCTGCTGCCTTTACCACTGCCATTCACACTTATCACCCAAAGCAAAGAATTAGACCACATTCCCGGATACCGTATTTCAAACTGGAAAGGGAACTTCTCCTTCCTCATATCTTTGGATGGTGCAGAAGTATTAGACAGGAAGTATCTGTGTGTCTCGGAAGAGTTTCTTTTGCCCTCTTGGCCTTGCAATACCATATGCCTTCACCCATCGGAGCACAATGGGGCCTGGCACTGATGGGTGCAGTCAGAGAGCATCACTTAGGTGGGAGCACATCTCCCTGACCTTGTAGAGATAACTCCAGACCTAGTGGGCAAGAGGATTAGACTCTGGCACAGAATCCCAGGTGGCTTTCCCTGGATGAACTGCCAGTTCTGGTGCGCTTCATAACTTCATGCGGTAGCTTCTCTGATACAAAACAGGTCATTGACAACAGGAGAAGGAGGAGAAGTTACGGAAGCTAATATTTTCCCCGAGACTTTCCACAGAAGAAAGCCTGATAAGTAGCTTCAAAGGGGTGCCTGTATATGTGTGCAGGTGGCAAGTGGGGGGGGGGAAATACAATCGCAAATCCAGATGGATCCTGAGAGATGAGGGCGCCCTTGTTGGCTACTGCCACGGTTTTGAATTCCTGCGGAGCACGGACACTCTCTGGAGCCTCTCCTTAATTCTGTTCACCTCCCAGCTAGGCTTCGAAGGGCTTCTTTTTGTTTTGTTTTAAGGGTTTCACTGCAGACAGAGTAACCAAGAAAACAAAACTGGAAGAGTTGCAGCTGCCTCAGAGACCTAGCAAGGCCCTCCTACAGTGCCATCTCAGGCTCACTCTCTCCCCACTCACCCTCAATTCCAAACCATTTTATTTCTGATCGATGATCTAGATAAGGCCGTGGGATCATTTATTCCTTTCATTTATTCTCCCCGAAAGGATGTAGGCCTGAGGATGGATTTTGGGCAGAAGAATCCCTTCATTGCCAGTGAAATGGCCCACATAGCCTATAGGAACGTAAGCAGATGAGAAGTCACTCCAGAGAAGAGTCATTGTCAGACTCCAGGCTGCTGGTCTTCTCTACAATAAGTATTAGTAAAAATTTGAATCCAGGTATACAAGCGGTTCTTGGAATTAGTTGGCATTTATTCTGTTACTATATGAAATACTGCTGAATGACTAACGTGATAGTTACTGGATATTTTTGAGAACTTGAAGGGTGCAGAATATTAAGTAAAACTAACAATTTATGAAAGTGTTTTCGTGTGGGTATCTGGCAAAGGAATAATTATAAGCCAATATCTCATTGAGATCGATCTTTAGTGTGCCAAAGAATCGTTGATTGTATCAGATCCAAATTTGACTTTAGGAGAATTTGTGATAAACGTTAGTGTTTTCAGGGCCTTTCTCTGCAAAGGAGGATAGCAGTCTGGTAAATATCCATGCACTTAAGTTAAATTGGCTTTGTTGAATCATGTAGCCTGTCTTTAGAAAAATCTGAATTCCTTCTTCCTTCCTTCCTTCCCTACCTTCTATATTTCATTAAGATAGCATTTGCAGCATAGAAAAATCTATACCAATAAGTTCTGCATTCTGATGTCAAAACAGTGAAAATCCAACCAAACTAATTTTGAGGAATTAAATCACATTCTAATAGATATTGATATTCTATTAATGACAAGCATAAATCAAGCTGTTAGCCTCTAGTGGCCTAGTTCTTACTATGATTTTTTTCTTAGAACTTTGTTCTATTTTTTGTATACTTGTTTTTATTTTAAAAAATGCAATAATGGCATTTTAAAGTATCTATGAATAAAGCTGCATGAATGTTCCCATAAATTACTTAATCAAATATTTCACATGTCCCAGATGCTCAAGATTTTAAATTACTGCAGTATGCACTAAGTTATGCTTACAAGGACCTAATGTTTCAGTAAACATATTGACTAGCTGACATATAATAACACAGTTCTTAAATTCAGAAGTCACTAACATTTAAATAGTAATATAATTACAAGAATTGTCACCTGTATACATTGTTGGACTCCTTTCACATTTTATATCTAGTCAAAAAGTTGGTCAAAATATTTTTTTTTCAACTAGGGTGAATGATAGGAGCTTGTTGACCACACATGTGAGACATACGTCCAGAGCATCGTGATCGTTAGGGGTAACTGGCCCTCTAGAGAGGCTCTGGGATGCTCTTTTAAGTGGTCCACAGGCTGGCCCTCCAGTCACGCCCATTGCGGAGCTTAGTCGTGTGGAGGCTACTGTGAGAAGGTGTCCCCTGGCACGGGGGTGTTTTGGTGCAGGTGTCAAAGCCAGGCTGGTCTTTTGCCTTCAAAGTTTCCGTGGGAAAAGTTACCTCCAAATCTGAGTTGTCAACACCAGGACTGTCACATACTCCTGTGGCAGCATTCACGGATGGGAGCTGTAAGAGGTTGAGACAAAATGCAGGTGGGACGTGTCTGAGACAAATCTGGCCAAAGCTCTAGCTTTTCCCAGGGTTTGCTGCTCATTCCCAACTCCAATGCTCTGTTTAGAATTTTAATACTTTTAACAAAATATTACATGCATATAAAAGAAAGCATATAACAGATATTTATGTTCTAAGACTAGAAAGACGAACACCTGTGTGTGCACTGCCTGGCTGAAGAGCATTGCCAATGCACGGAGTGCCTCCTCTGCACTTTTCTCCAGTTTGCTGCCCCTTTTCTCTCTCCCGCCAAACCTCCCCTCTGTGCCTTTTACGTTCTGTCTTATGGTTTGATTCTACATGTGTGGTCTGTAGACAATACATTATTTTATGTGTTTTTGAAGTTTATATAGATGGATTCATATTCTATTTGGCTTTTCTTTCATTCAACATTTTTTTTCCTGAGATTTTATTTGTATTTATTTGTGTAGCTACACTTCATTAATTTTCACTGCTGTGAAAGATTCCACTGTATGACTATTCAAAAGTTTTTAATGATCTCTTGATCATTTGAATTGTTCATAGTTGGGTGTTTTATTTTTACTTTGCTGCTAAAAACAATGTTGCTAAGCCCTTACATGTCTGTGATACATAGGTGCAGGTGGTTGTCTGAGAAGTACATCTAGTCATTGAAATAATTAGCCAATGGGCATGTGCAACTTCAAATATAATGCTAAGTTATTGTCTAAAGTGGCTGCTGAATTTAAATTCCCACCAGTACAACATTCGGAAACCACAACTTTTCTAATTTCTCCCAATCCTGGGTATCAAATGATACCTCCTGGTTTAAATTTATGTTTTCCTGGTTACTATCTGAGGCATTTTCTCATAAGCTTTTTGACTACTTCCTCTTCTTTGAATATCTGTTTTTGACATTTCCCATTTCTCTGTTGGGCTTTCTTTTATCTTTTGACATAGAGGTATTTTCAGTGCATTCTGCGCAGCACCCTTTTGGATTTCATGCTCCCCGTGTTTGTGGATCAACTCTTCATTTTCTTTATGGTGCCTTTGGATAAAGACAATTGTAACTGTAGTGTTTCTTCCCATTTTCTGTCACCCACGCCTCAGCCTCGAACTTACGTTTTTGTTTTCGTTGTTACTCTGCACTACAATCTGGGGTTACCCCTTCAGGTCTTTCTTTTAGTTCACTGGATCTTTAAGTGTGTGCTAATTTGTGGTATAACCCATCGTTCAGCTTTTTACTTCAAAAGATTTTTTATTTCTAAAGTCATCCATTTTCTTGTTTTTTATGTCTGACTGGATGTTTTTTGATCATTAAAAATTTTTTTCTCTTTTATCTCTTTAGCCACTTAGAGCATAACAATTTTATATTCTGTGTCAGTTAATGCTAACACCTGAGGCCATCAAGCTTTTACATTTGTGGCTTGCTGTTGGCCTGGTTCCTCACCTGCCTATATTAATGTTTGCTTGTGAGCTCATACTTGGCTGAACTTCATCTGTAGGAATTACGAGGGATGTATATTAAGGATATTGTTTTTTTTTCCAGAATAGTCTTGCCTATCCTTCAGTGGGGAACCAGGACTTCAACAAGCAGCCAACTTAGGGCAGCATTTATTTAATTATTTGGCCTGGGCCAGGCATGATGGCTCATACCTGTGATCCCAGTGCTTTGGGGACAAGATACGGTGATTGAGGCCTGGAGTTCAAGACTAAACTGGGCAACATAGTGAGACTCTTACCTCTCCAAAAAAATAAAAAATAAAAAAATAGCTGGGCATAGTGGCATGTGCCTATAGTCTTGGCTACTTGGAGGCTGAGACGGGAGAATTGCTTGAGCCCAGGAGTTCAAGACTGAGTGAGCTAGGATTGTGCCATTGCAATTCAGCCTGGGTGACAACGTGATGCCCTACCTTAATAATAGTTATTATTTGACCTGGAGTTTTCCTGGCAGCCCAAGTAATGTAAACTTCACACCATCTGAGATCTGGACTTCTATTGTGGGTTCTGAGGGAAGACAATTATTTTCTTGTTGTATTTATCCTGAGAGTAGGCAGGGACAGGACAGGTAGGCTTCCTATCTGTTTCCTCTGCAACAGGCTGTTGGCTTTTGGTGACGGTGAGGTTCTTTCTAGAGTCATTTGAATTTAGGATCTCAGACTTAACAGTGTTACTTTTCTGCAGACCCTTAGCTTTTTTAAATTAGTGTCCAAAGCTCTGGGTGCCTGGTTTGGTCATTTTTTTTTCCTGCCTGAAGGTCCCAGCTTCAGGATTTGTTTAGCATTTTGGTTTAGTTTGTAGGTTTCATCTTTTGTTAGCTTCCCTTGTTTTCTGGAGGGCTCCGCAGTGTGTTTACCTGTAAGCTAGTTGTTTATCCGTCATGCAAGTGTTTAATGAAGGGAGAGCTTTCCTGAATATGTAGCCCATCAAGGATTAGAACTCCAAATCTGCCCCAGTGCTGTTTGCCATTAAAATAACCACTTCTCCCTCATCCCAACTCTGACAAGTGCACATGGTTAAGAAACACCAAAACTTGATGATTGGAAACAATCACATCTGGATCTCATTCATCGGTTTTAGAATTTCGTTCCATGTGACTGCTGCCGGGGCCACGGAATAAAGGCTTAGAGTGCGAAGCGCCCGCATCTGCTGCGTCGGCGTCACCAGCGCAGCCCTGTTTCGTCCTTTGTTTATGGAGGATCTGAGCAGAATTTCACCTCCAAGAACAAACACTTGAAACTAGTGCAGTCTATCTGATACCATCATGAGGAAACATTGGCCCAGAGGCCGTATCTTTAGGGGAGATATAGGGAATGAGGTTCCAGTAGGACTTTCAACTTCAAATTTCAACCTCAGTTTCCCTATACTGAAGTGTCAGATTATATTTTAGAAATCATACTTGTCCACATTACAGGCTTGTGTTTTAATCTTACTTCTTATTTTTTAAGGGTTTTATGGATTTCTCAGCCACATTCATATCAGAGGAAAGAAGCAGATTGTTGTGAGCATTATGACGATTACCGATTGTCATTATCATGTAAAAGAAATGGAGAATCTTAAAGAGCAATGTAACTTTTTTGATCTTATACTGATTCAATGAGCTAAGACTATGATCCAGACGTTTTCACTCTAAAGCACTTATTTATACACTTTGTTGTAATAAGATAATGTTCAACCTATCATTAAAGATGGCCAAAATATTTTAGATACATTTGTATGTTTTAATTTTACCAGGTCAATATGAGAAGGTGAAATTAACCATATATGTAAATTAACAGAAACATACTTAATCTGGACTGAAATTTTTTAAGGAGTTAATTAGAGATGAAATTGTTTGCTAAGCTTATCCCATTTCACTTCAGAAGTATAATTTGGGTTTCCATTTCCATTGCTTCATTAGAAAGCAGATCATTTAAAAAGCACTCTGCCTTCAAGTGTCTTTCCTGTTATACAATTTTTTGGAAAATACAAAGAGAATTCCATAAATGTAATTGGAGGATACCTCCTAAAACTATTTCCACATGGTTTATCTAAATCATTGTTTCTGGTATTTATGGCTTCTAAAATGAAGTTGTATCAACTAATAGTTGAAGAATAAGTGTGTTTATTTTTACTTTGAATGAAATTATTATGTACCCACATAAATATATAACATGTTTAAAAATAAAACTCTTAGAGAATTTTCTGAAGCTCTGATTTGACTCTAAGGGTTTCAATTATAGAAACATCAAGTCAAGATGAGCTCTACTGTCAGTGTATTAGACAGTTCTGTGCAATAGGTGAGGCTTTTATTATTCCAGAAAAGCCTACTGATAGACTACCCCAGCGTCATAAAGATTGCAATTGACATGTAGGTACTCTGTAGGTAACAAGCCATTCTCACCTGTCACTCAGGGAGATGTGTCAGCAATATGGACCTGTTACCAAGAAGGTGAACATGATCCGGGGTTGCGTTAGCTGGAACCTACGTAGCACACAAGAACCATGAAATTCACTCACCCTGTTCAACATTGATTAGGTCTATGTTAGAGCCTAATTTGAGTTCCATATTTTAAACCCAATATTAGGAAGTTGGAGATGGGCCAGGGAAAAGCAATGAAGATTATTTGAAAGTAAAAAACTTATCTATGCTGAAAACTGAAACACAGTGGAATTTTTTGTAACCAAGAAAGGAAAGCATAAAAGTACTTTTGCGTGTGTCCTCATGTGGAGCAAAATTGAGACTGAAAAGTGCCTCTTACCCTAAATCTATCTTATAAGGTGAAGGTCTTAGCATCATTAGAAGAAGCAGCCAGGATATCAGGGCTGATTGTTCTTTAACTATTTCTTAAATCTCTCACCTGCTCACTGAAAATACAGGAGTGTGAGGGCCTGGTGTCTTATCAGCTGTTAATTCTGAAAGTAATTCCAAAGCCAAATCTGAGCCAGAAGTAAAAGTAAGCTACTAATGGGGCAAGAAAGAAGGTAGGTCAGCAGTTATGAGAAAGGAAGTCTTGTCCCTCCTGTTCATTCAGAGGGAGGCCTGGGCTAGCCACTGCAGACAAAGATGAAGAGAGGTCCCAGCCCTCATGGAGCTCACTGTCAAGAACCCGCCAACACAGTTGGCAGTACTGAAGTACTTAGCTTTAGTACTGAAGTGCTTAGCTTTAGTACTGAAGGATATTTAGGAGTTTGCCAGAAGAGCGATGAGAGAACAGCAGACACAGACAGAGTCGTGATGAAGCACCACGTGGGACGGTCCTGCTGGTGGAGCGGCAAGTTTGACCAGGAAGCAAAGATTATAGTTGGATTCTTAGGTAGGTGTCAAACTGTGATTTTTTTTTCAGAAAGGAAAGTGGTTGATACTCTGCTGTCGGTGGCAAGCCATGTGTCTTATTTCAGACTTATGTCTTAGAAAGACCTTCTAGGGCTGTTTGGTGAATGGCCTTGCCCTGCTTGGGGTCGGAGGAGGGCATGGCCTGAGCAGATGTAGGGAGAACAGTAAGGAGCCATAGGCTGAAGGTCTGTCTCAGGGAGTACCTGTGGAGACAAGGAAAGGTGGATGGAACATAGACACTGTAGGAAAAGATAGGCTTGCACATGTTACAACTGCAAAGAAATAAATATTTCAGGTGATACATATTCTAATTAGCCTGATTTGATCATTTCACAATGTATACATACATCAAAATATCACATTATACCCCATAAATATAAACAACTATTATTAGTTCATTAAAAATAAAACAAAAAATAATTCAGGGGGAAAAATCAATAGGTCTTGGCAAGTCAAGTGGCAGGGTGGTAATTGAGAGCGATCAATTAATAAGGATGCTTGGAGGTGGTGCTATAGACCAGGAATGGAATTGTTTATCTATAAATTTCCTGTTACTGCTCTAACAAATTGCCACCAATTTAGTGCCTTAATACAATATAAATATGTTATCTTATAATTCCAGAAGTCAAAAGTCTGAAATGGATTTCAATGGGCTGAATCTTCTAGGGAAGAATCTTTCCTTTCCTCTTCCAGCTCCTAGAGGCTGTTCACATTCTTAGTTTCATGGCCCCTTTCCATCTTCAAAACTTGGGATTGCCAGTCAAGTCTTTCTCACATTAAATTACTCTACACTGATTTTTCTGCCTCCCTCTTTATAGGACCCTTGTGATTACATAGAGTCCACAGGATAATCTCCCCATCTCAAGATCCGTAACCTAATCACATCTGCAAAATTCTTTTTGCCTTATGAGATAGCATATTCGAAGATTCTGGGAATTAGAACTTTCGCATCTTTGGGAGGCCTTTATTCCGCCTACCACAGTTGGGATGGAGAGAGCGGTCCCAGTTTGGGCTTGTGGTCTGGGTAAGAAACTGGAACTGCTAGGGATCTCCTTCTTGCCTGCAGATAGAAATTTCGATGACATTAAGACTGATTGTAGTCAGGCTGGTCTTAAAGCTGTGGAGAGATGGATCAACAGAGAGAGCAGGAAATGAAAAGTCACTAGTAGGTTAGCCTATAGGTAAAGTGCTGGCGATGTCAACTTCTTTGGTTCACATGGTCTCAAAATAAGCAGGAACTCTTGTATTCAGAATGAGCCAGAGATTTGTCATGTCACTGTATTTCATTACTTTTAAAATTGCTCCCAGAATAACAGCTTTATATTGAAAGTCCAGTACTCCAGAAGTGTATCAACAATGGTTGGAATCTGACATTTTCGCACTGTTCTAAGCTAATGTCAGTTTATCATGTTAGATTTGATAGTCTCTGCTTTGTTTAATATTCTGTTCCTAGGAAACCTTCGGGTGCGTTTCTGATAGGACTGTTGACCCTGCCATGCATAACAAATTATACAGACATTTTGAAACTCAACGTTTTGACTCTCTCACTAGCTTATACATCTTCCCTGAAATTTCAGAACACAGGTCAATATTTTGGCATTATGGAAAAATGGAAACATGAAGCGGAAGAGCGTGTATAGTGAAGTGGGGGCAGATGTGAAATAACTGCTTCCGAACCAAAAACCTAATGAAACCAACAGTTCCGTCCTGACTTCTTTACTTGCTGCTCCCTCCGCGCCTGGGATGGACAGTTGTAGCTGCTTCTGCCTCCTGCGGTAGCTGTTACTGTCAGTTTTCTTGCTCGCTGAAGGTAGAGTTTCTCGGTCTGGGGCTTGAGTGCAGTTCAGGCTGCTGTGATTCTGCCTATGGGAAGACAGAAGGGCTGGCCTGGCTAGTGCCCGCTGGTTTTCAGATTCTAACTCTTCATTCTATGCACATGCTGTTGCATTTTAAGGGAAACTATTCTTCTCAAGTCTTCAGTTTGCTTTTACAATCTGGGTTTTGTGTGCTCTTGCACCGAAATGCTTACATATGGAAGGATTTGTGCTTGGAGTGATTAGAATATAAAGGTAAATATGACATGGCCCTTACCCTAAAAAAAAGTTCATGTCTAATAGGAGATGTAGAGCCTTTACACAAATACCTGTAGCGCAGGGCTAAAAATAACAAGTGTTGACTTGATGACTAGAGGAGATCTGATATATTTTTTTAAATATAATGAGTGCCATAAGGAAGATAGCATTTTGGTTGTTTAGCAGAAGATAGGCATCTGTGGGGAGAATCAAGGAAGCTTTTTTGAGTTAATATTTAAATTGTTTTTTTATGGCTAGATAGGATATTTAGAACTGGGAGGAAGTTTAGACAGATGGCATTCCAAACATAGATACAAAATTAGCGGAGGTTAAGAGATAGGAAATAGCATAAGTATGAGAAAAAGTGAGTAATATTGTTTGACTGTCATTGAAATAGTGGGATTAATGTGGAAGAGAAAACTATGTCATCTATAAAAGGCTTTGAATGCCATAATGAGTAATTTGGTGTTAAGTTTTGGTCTTTTAAAAAAATTATTTTGCATTCCTGAATAAACTAAACTTCAGTCAGTCATGGTGTATTATTTTAATTGCTGTTGGATTCTGTTTGTCAATATTTAATTCAGAATTTTAGCATTGCTATTCTTGGATGAGTTTGTTCCATAATTTTCTTTTTGGTGCAATCTGTCAAATTTTGGTATCAATGTTACTCTTTCCTTGTAAAAAGAACTTGGAATCTGTCCTAGTCTTTTTGTGTTTTTCCTTTATGCTTTGAAGGAGTTTAAATGGCATTGGAATGTTTTCTTATTTTAAAGGGTTGGCAAGTTATGCTATGAAACCATCTAGGGTGTGTGTGTGTGTGTGTGTGTGTGTGTGCACGTGTGTCCAGTTTGGGGGATAACTCTAACAGTCTTCTTTGTGTGATAATTAGTGTAATATATTTTCTCTCTCTTCTGGAGGCAGGTTGACATATGATATTTTCTAGAAAATTATCTTCTTCAGGCGGGCGCGGTGGGTCATGCCTATAATCCCAGCACTTTGGGAGGCCGAGGTGGGTGGATCACGAAGTCAAGAGATGGAGACCATCCTGGTCAACATGGTGAAACCCCATCTCTACTAAAAATACAAAAATTAGCTGGGCATGGTGGTGCACACCTGTAATCCCAGCTACTCGGGAGGCTGAGGCAGGAGAATTTCTTGAACCCAGGAGGCAGAGGTTGCAGTGAGATGAGATCGCACCATTGCACTCCAGCCTGGGTAACGAGCAAAACTACGTCTCACAAAAAAAAGAAAGAAAGAAAGAAAGAAAATCATCTCCTTCATCCATGTTTTGAAATTATTTGCACAGGGTTGAGCAAAGGAATCAATTATAATTAAAAAAAATATCTTTAGCCTAGGCAGCATAGCAAGACCCTGTCTCTTCAGAGAAAATTTTAAAATTACACCTATAGTCCCAACTGCTTAGGAGGCTGAGGTGGGAGCATCCCATGAGCCTGGAGGTTGAGTGTGCAGTGAGCCATGATGGTGCCAGTGCACTCCAGTCTGGGGGACAGAGTAAGACCCTGTGTCCAAAAAGAAAAATAAATAAAATGTCTTCTGTGCTGTTTATCTGCCTCTTAATTTTATTTTGTGTAATTGTATTGGCCTCCTTCCTTATCCCCTTCGATTTGGTGAACTAACCAGGTTAGTTGAAATTGAAACTACTAGCTTTTCAATTTATTTATTGAAAATAAATAATACCCTTTCTTTCAATTAATTTATTTTTCTATATATTAATTACTTTTTCTCCTTTCTATAGTTTTGTTTCCTTTAACTCCCTAAGTGGAATGTTTAATTTAGTTTTTATTATTTCATGTTTATTAATAAACTATTTCAATCTATGGATTTTCCTTTAAGCATGACTTTTGCTATCCTGTGTATTTTTTTTAAATAGTTATTTTCTGCATATGATTATTTATTTTCCTTTCATGACCTCAAAATTATGAGGGAAGTTTAAAATTTTCAGAAGGTAAAACTTTTTTATTCTAGTTTTGTTAAATATTGATAGTTTTATTGTATCATGGTGCAAGAGTGTTTTCTATGCTTTTCTATTTTGGGGAATTTATTGATGTTTTATTTGTGGCATAGTAGATTGTCAAATTTTGTGCCTGTTTAGTGGATACTGGAAAAGAAGGTGTGTTCTGTTTCCAGGTGCAGATATGACATATACATGCATTAGATCTTACTATATAGGATCTACCCTTTTAATTTGGTTATTTGAATATTCTGGATAATTCCTTATTTTTTATCCACTTTATTGACCACAGACGGAAAGAGGTAAATAATTTCCTGCTGCTAGTTGGTTTCTCTGCTTTTCTCTGGTGTCCCTGGCATTTTGGGTGGCACAGTCTTTTGTTGTGCACGGCTGCCATGTACATTGCAGGAGGTTTTGCATCCCTGGCTCCTCTGCACAGTGAAGGTCAGCAGAGTCTTCCAGGTTATTCTGACCATCAAAAATGCCCACTAGGAGACTAGGGAAAGTATCACTTGTAATTGATAACCACTGACGTTTGGAAATGTTTTAAAAACGTTTTTGTCTCACTTGTATGATAATTCTATAATATATGTCTTGTGCCAGAAGTTAAGATTCTTAGAAAATTATTTTTAATTGTACATGTAAGAAATGGACTTTTCCTCCCTGGGGATGGAACAAAACTGATGAAATATTGATGCCAGAGGAGTCCATTAAGAATCAGGTAGTGCTACAGTTATTTAGGTCAGATACCTGAGTCTCTCCCCATTTTGCTCTATGTTCAGGTATAAGAGACTACAATGTATATCAAATAAACTAGCTCTTCCAATAGCCTTAAAATAAATTCACCTATCATATTTCAACACAAGGTCCTAACTTTTATTACCACCTGCTGCAATTAATCTCCTAAAGGACAAGCTATATTAAATTGACAAGTTCTTGGATGTAAATATGACTTACTAAGTAATATGTGTGTACATTTAAAACTTCTCAAGTTTCTAAAATAAACTTCAGCAAATTTCTGTACATACAGTACAAAAAATAAGAATTCTATTAAGAGAGGGTGGAACCATACCTATAAAAATAAACTTTGAAGTTCTTTGAACTCAAAATGAGCTTAGCAAAAATTGTGTGCAAACAGTGAGGAAGGACTGTAACAATTTTGAAGCAGGTTTTGGCTAGCTCATCAGAATCTGAAAGAACTTCCCCAAATGTATATGTAGGATTTGCAAGAGCTTAACTGAGGCTAACACACACTGACATCAAAGTCTTTTGTAGGGTAGGTGAAAATGACTTTCACTGCTGTAGAAAGAAGAATGTGTGTGTATTTTTAGGTATTCACCTGAGCATATAAGAACCATTCTTAGTGTAGCTATTCTGGTCAGCACTTGAAAATACCTCACTGAGAAGCTGCTCCAAATTTACCACTGGTGAGAATTAAGTCATACTATGTCTGGGAATGCTACATAACATTACTTATTGTTGACAAAAGTGTCCACTAATGTTTACCACAAAACCTAAATGGCTAAGGGTCAACTAACTGCACACATAAATTGGTAATTGTTAGACAGTTCGAATATGATAAAATCCAGTTAACATAAATGTTAATGTAGAGTGTCATTGAATTGGTCTTTTCTGGTGTAGCAGGTGATTTGGAATCTTTTGTAGAGCTCAAGGACGTAAATATCCCAGCTAATGTTCTGATGAAGTACATTTAGAAGCCCACTGACTCATTCTCATTCTCAAGTCTTCACCTGGTTTTAGATTTTCCAGGTCTCTCTTCTTTTTAAAAAGGCATGCTTACTATCTGCTTGCGTGTGGGTACAGCCCTTTTCACAGCCCTTATCACCCTACCCCTGCCCTCCTTGCTGGCTTCATTGGTGGGCATTTGGAAGAACACTTCGAACTCTTTCCTACTCTAGGACCACTTTGGGAGATGTCAGCTGGTTCCCAGTTCCTATCCCTCTACTTACAGTAGAATAT